TAGAGACGAGTGAGTTAGGTAGAGACTTAGCTTTAGCGATACATTTTTAATGTAAAGTATACATATGTTTAATAAAGTACACATACCTAGCCTGACAGAGGGTTTAAAAAAAAAAAATAAATAAATTTTATTTTTTTATTATTAACTTAAATAATATTAATAATTCTTTATTTATTATTTTTATTTAAAAGTTTTTTTTTTTTAATTTTTAAAAAAATATATTAAATATATTTATTTTTTATTTTTTATATATTAAGTTTTATAAATATACTTAATAATTCTAATTTATAATATTATTTTTTGATATGTTTTATTTGATTATATTCACAAATATATTATTATTTAATATTAAATTTTTTAATAATCTATTTAATAAAATTATTTATTATCATATTTTATTATTTTATATTTGTAATAATTATATTTGAAATTGGATTTTTTATTTTATTTTAAAAATTTTTAATATTTATTTAATTAAAATATATATTATTTTATTAAAAATATTTTTTAAGTATAGTTTATATTTTTCTTTTTATAAAATTTAGTATTCTTGTTTTAAAACATTGTTTATCTGTTTTAATTATTTTTTGTATATTATTTTGAGTTTTTTTTTTGAAACTATTTCATTTATTAATACAAGTCTAATTATTTACAATAATTTTTATTATTCTTTTTATTAAAATTATTAATAAGGTTATTATTAGAATTATTAATTCTGTTTTTGTTAATAAAGATAAGCTTTTTAATTTTAGTTTAAAAATTCTATATTAAATTTGGTTTAATTTTTTTCATAATTATTCAAGTTTTTAAGAGTTTTTTAATTTTGTTGATATATCTTTACTAGTTAATTTTTATATATACTAACTTTTTTTACTATTTTTTTTTTTATAATTTTTTCTATTAAAATATAATTTATTTTCTTATTATTGAGTTTTTTTAAAGTTATAATTATCAATATTACTTTATTTTTAATTTATTTCTTTAATAATATTTTTAAATATACTATTTTAAGTTTTAAGCTCTTTTTATAAATTTTTATTATTAAGAAATAATATTGTATATATTTTATTTCTATTTATTTTAATGATATAGAAATCATTTTTTTGTATCTTTTAAATATTTAAAGTATTTTATTAATTCTAATTTTTACAAATTCTTTTGTTTATAATACTTGAAGTATTTTATTATATTAGTATCACCATTTTTTAAAAATTAATCTTTTTATTTTATTTGGAATTATCTTTAGATGTAATAATTCAAGACTTTATTTGTTTTTTCCTATTTACTATTAATTTGAATAATTGAATTCATATTTTATTTTGTCTTCTTTTTATTTATTAATTTGTTTTTCTATTTGTTTTTATGTTATAAATTCCTGAAGTAATCTATATCATTCTGGAATAGGTCCATTATTTATCGTTATATCAATTATATCATTCTCCAACTTTTTAAGACTTCGAATTCTAGGTTTATAAGCTGATCCAGATATATTAACTTATTGTTTTATAATGATTGTATGGCTTTTTTGTATGTATCCATAAACAAGTATCCTTGTATTGGATTGATATTCATATTCTATTCAACTTTGAAAAATTATTTCCATATCTTATGCCAGATTTGACACTTAGAATGAGAAGTTCTTGTCGATCACATGATTTAAGATCTGTATATAAGTAAATTGAGTGGCACTATCACCAAGCAAGACATCGACAACAAGTATAATTCCGATCCTTCTTCACGTAATATCACGTTTAATGAAATTCTTGCTAATCGTGATATCAGGTTCTTAATCGAACTCACTGATTACCATGCCAAATTTAATGCTGAGCTTACCTCACGCGATGAAAACTTTATAGCGGAGGTCCAAAGACTCTTGGTAATGCTACAGTAAATACTTCTATTGCGAGACTTGATGAGATCGAACTAACTACCACAACAAAATTCGAATAAATTAATGCTTCTGTCATAACTCTCCAAAGTGAAATAAATCAGTGTTGTGCGATAGTTCTAAAAATCGAAGAGATTAAATTTAATGAACAAAGCATGATCAAGCTTCAAATAATTCCTCCGCAAGCTCAGGACAATTAATGTTTACGGATATCAGCTTGATCGTCTGGGATCGATTTAAACAGATTTTTGATCAAATCAAGACCAATAATAATTTTAGTTTAGAGGAGATGTATCCTTCAGTAGCTATGGACATTCGATCATTGGGAGAGAATATTAAAAAGAAGATAGTACAAGGGTTGTACGAAAGAAATATTAAAAAGAAAAATGGTATATTAGTACTTTAGATCAAATTGATTTATGGATCGATAGTAAAACAAATAACCTAGGTAATAATAATGAATAGTGGAAAAGGAGTTGGCATTACATGGGTTAGGCCTCGGCAGGCCGAACAAGCATATTTTATACTTTCTTCTCTTGAAACAATCTGCTATTTTATCATTTTACTTTCATTTTCTCTTAGCCGGCCGGCCCTTTCTCATGTAATACTTTACGGAAAAAGATTTACTTCTAATTTTTTAATGAAAATATTTTGATTAAGCGAGATAACGCAAAACTAATATCAATAGTAGTAAATGAAAATTATCCATTTTCTCAATATCCGGGTTGTCAACATGTCTTTAGTTCTAATAAGAAATATTTTACAGGTCAAAATACCTATCACCTAAATTTCTGGTTATTTATATATTATGGGTTACACAAAAAATTTTGCCACTGATATTTAAGCATAAGGGTAAATTTTGATTTGTGGCTTAAAACATATACAGTATAAATTCTCTCAAAAATAACATTCTTTTATAACAAATTTTCATAATAATGACCGACAAATTACACGAATACTTTAAACGCAATTCTTCTGAATGGTGTATTACAGGTTTTCTTAACGAATGTAAGATGGAACCTATCAAGAGGAAGGAAGGGGCGGAGATACTTCTTAGAGCATACAGAGAGTAAGTAATCTGTGTCAAAAATATAGGTGAAAAAAACATGGTGTGACAGGGGGATACCCACTCGGTTCCCTGTTATTCAAGGTCATTCGCCGAGGCACAAAACCAATGCTGGAGCACAGGTGACCCACTCGGTTAAAAGACCATTCACCGAGCTAGCATTGGAACACTAGGGTGCAGGTGACCCACTCGGTTGTCTGATGTTCTGGTGGAAAATCGAAATAGATGGGACCGGAGGTGTTAGTGATGGATGTTATTAATTTTCAAATCTTCGTGTTAGGATCATCATGCAGATCGAAAAAAGCGAGAAAGTGGGAAAAGGAACGTTTGCGCAAGCAGGTGATAGTGAGTCAGCCAAAAATTACGACATCAACGGAAATGTAGTTGGAAATATGGGGACGATAAGTTAGTTGTTGGATCAAAAAGAGATCTGGAAAAGGTACAGATACCTTTTATTATTTAGAAGTCATGAGAATAAGCAGAAATAGACTTCTTTCAGAGTCCATCCGAACGACAATCATCCTATCGGTTTAAGAAGTTACGAAAATCTGATGAACAAGATATTTCCAACGAGAAGGATGACGAGATATGGTCTTCAGACTATTCATATTAATAAAGACCGATGCGAAAGAATATACAGATATCCATGCTGGGCAAACTGCAATGTCTTAGTCATTCTACCAGACAACAGATAACATTAGTGTGGTTTCGAATGACAAGAATTAAATGAACGAGATTCATGATGAATCCGAAACTTCCATCAATGATAGCATGATTACAATGAAAAGCTTGATGAGGAGGAAATAAGATTTGATTTAGCAAACACCACGAAAGAACTAAAAAAGAACCGACAATTGAGGTATACCACATGTCAAAGCTTAGATTTCTTTATACGAATATCACACGTTTTGTTTTTGTTTTCTAGTGGAAGGTTGGTTCCACCAATGTGACAGAGGTTTTGGCAGTATCAAGTAGAGGTGCTTAAAAAGGCGGATAAGGGAGGGTTGAAATATGAAAACATTTACGAAATCTTGTAAGTATTCTAAGATTAATTATCCAATGACTGTGAGGATATATATTGACCATAATTTCTTCCTCATCGCATGTAGAGCTTTATCATCAGTTATAGTGCTTAGTTCGCCGTGTCCATATCCTATATTTACAAAACGAGAGTGGCGAGAATTTTGGAAACTATCCCTTACATCATTCAAGAATCCCCACTTTTGCCAGAGATTTTCTTATTTCTCCGCGAAGCATTTTTAACCATTTCTTAACTAAGACGTATTCATTGAGGATGGAAATCAAGGTTGAATAGAGCAATTGCTCGCTCATTCAATGATCTGTAAGTTTACACATTTTATTATACGTCCTCGAGCTTGTGGCTTATAGTTATCTTTCAATGTATTACAGATATAATAATGTCTCGAAGGTTGCTTCACCAAAAATGTCCGAAAATGAGCACAGTTATAAGTTTCATTATCCAATCATTTGTCCGTTCTTTTCTGATGAAGACGAATATGAGTATTACTGGATCGTGCCAACGCGGGTTCAAGGAAAAGATCAGACCTTTCTTGTGTGGTAGACGCCGTACCAATATTAAACTCAGAGTTCAAGCCATTAGGGTGCATGCGACTGCAACGAAAGAAGGATCGTTTAAAAGTTCGGTTAAAGGCCCGAAAATCAATCAATCAGCAACTGGAAACCAGGTGAAGCCGGCATATTCCTAAACATGGATGTGTATGCTTGAAGTTAATGAGATTACATATAAGTTTGTGATATATATATTAAATTATCTTCTGTGATAATTGGGCGATTTGATGGAAATTCTTTATGGATCTTAAATGTGATGGATTATATCGCTCCTAGCCATTTTTCACGACCAAATTGGTAATCGACCAGACCACGATTCCATTAGCAGAGGGTTAAATCACATATTATCTTCGAGTTTTATAATAAGTATTTTTCTCATTTCTCTTTAAAATTTCAGAAACATATCGGACAAATTGAGTAAAACTTCAAATATCGAAGTCACCAATTCACGCCATCAGCACATATGTCCTTTGTACGTAAACTTCCTGATTTTCCACAATTAAGGATGGTGTTACTTCGTTAGAGTCGGGTTGGGGCAATAGTAATAGTTTTTATACAATCTCGTAATAAAGCGATCGTGAATTTGTTGAGCAATATTTTAATCAACCCTTTGGATTACGCAAAATCTATAATAAGACAGTTAATCTTTTTATTCAAAATATCACGAGTTCCACCGAGATGCATACGATGTGAATGGTATTTTATGAATATTCTTTATAATTATTTATGGATTAAGATTATTATGATTTTTAACGGGATTACTAACATTACTTCTTGTGGTGAGATTATTGTGAAATCAACTTTAAGGGATTAAAAAAGATATTATACCTATATATTTCATTACAACCAATATAAATATACATCTTTCTCATTCTCATCACAAATATTAAAACGAAAATATGATGATTATATCATTCTTGAAGAGATGCTTCAAGAACCTAATTGCACAAAAGTGAATCATATATTCTTGAGTATAAAAATATTAAATCTAATAGGTTTAGTTACAAAGTAACTGCTTTCACAATTCTTAAATACAATATAAATCATTTATAACTTTATAATTATAATAAATAGGTTAGATAAGATAAATGGTTGACTTAGGTGAAAGACGTGAAACCACTTAAAGTATTCTTGAGAAATAGTACTTTAAACTTTATATAATTATCTTTTTTTAAAAAAAAAGTTAGTAATATCTTTTACCTTGATTTTTTTATATTAATCTATTTTTATGTAATACAAAAATTTTTAGTGAAGATAATAAATAGTACTTGTTGTTGTTTATTATTCATCTCAATTTTAATAATAGATTAGATATATATATATTTTCAATTATATAAGTAAAAGCAAACAAGTGTAAAGGTTTGAGTTATGCTCCAGAATTAGTTATTTAAGTTTTACTTTTTTAAAAATTTTTAATATTGTGTTTAATTTTTATATTTTTCTATAAAAAATAGTTTTTTATTTTAAAAAACTAATTTTTTATTAAAGAAAATATATTTTTATATATTTTATTTTAAATAATATAAAGACCTAAACTATTATTATATTATTATTTGTTATAATTCAGAGTTACATACTATATTATACTATATATTATTCATCATATTATATTTGTTTATATTATAATTTAAAGCTAACTAATATATTAATTATAACTTTACCACTTTATGTTACTATTTACCAATTTTTAAAAATATCAAGAAAGTATTCAATTTTAGCTTTATTTAATAAAAGTTTAAAAAAAAATCCTAAAAAAATGAAAATTTTTTATGACTATAATAAATATAATGGATTACTTGTTAATCTATAAACAGAATTTTCCCATAAATATCAAAAAACAAAAGGCAGATATTCAATAAATGAAAAATTCATAATTATATAGATAGAATAATGTTTTTAGTTTTCAAAAAAACAATTAACTACTAGTTATAAAGTATATTTATATTGGATTTACTAATTTAATAATAAAATAAAGAAAAACTTATAATTCTTCACTATTTATACAATCAGAATAATTAAATAAAAATATAATTAATTAGTTTAATCTAGTTTTTCTATATTCTATTATTTGATATTAATTGTTACAAATATATCAAAATCTAAATTTTGAATCTAATCTTCAGCATTGAGTAAATCAATCAAGTATTAATGTGCTTCTATGAATATCTATTATAATAATATTTTAAAAACTTTTAAAAATGAAAACCTAGAATTATTTTTTAGTAAAAAGACAACTTATTTATATTTTTAATTGATGCTAAATATTGACTGATTTAATTATTCAATAATAAAGCATATAATACTGAAGTTATATATGTGATTATTATAAATTTGCTACTCAAAATATGATTTATGTATAAAAATATATTAATTTTTGATATATTATCAGATTTTAATAAACCAAGTTTATATTAATAAATCATTATCTTTCTTCAATTGTTGAGAATTTATGTAACTATATCAATAAATAAAGTTCAATTCAACTATTAAAAATAAAAAGAAAAAATAATTTGAGTAACCTTAATTTTAATTTCATATGATATTCCTACTGCATGAAAAATATGTAAATATATTTTAGTACTATATTATGTCATTGTTGCAAAAAAAATGTCAATTATAAATATAATTATTATAATTTTAATAATATAAAGGATATAAACAAATAGTTTATACTAAGAAATTTAATAATACATAAATAAGATTCTATTGAATCAAGACACTGTAACTTAAATGTAGTATGAAAATGTTTTGTCAATAAAAATTATATCAGATAGTTTGAATTTCTTTGTCTACTTTATTTTAATCTAATTTAATATTTAGTTATTGATCCTATACACTGTTTTTTATTAGATATTAATAAATAGTTTATTAAATAAATATAAATAAAAAAAAGATTCTAATGAATAATGTATTAAATAAAATACAATCAATAATAGAAATATTTCAAGTACTATCAGATATTAATCAAATTCTGAAAAAAATAAATAGTGATAAAGAATTTTCAAACTTTTAATGTTTATCAATGAATAATTTTTTTTATAATATATATAACTATCATTCTATGGAAACATCTTTCGGATATAAATTATCAAATTTTAATAAATTTTGTTAAGATTTATCAAATCTTAGTATCTAAATTTTAAGACAAAATTCATTAAATAAGACTTACGAAAAATTGGTTGCAATGATTAAATTAATAGAATAAAAATATAAAGAAAAAAAATTTACTTGGAATTTTTATCTTTTATTACATTTGTATAAATGTATATATAATTATGAGCCATTATATATATTTTAATACTTTTTATTTGAGAGGAAAAATAGTATATTAAATAGGTTTTTCAATAAATTTAATATTAGAAAATAGGATTCTAATAAATTTTTAATTTAAGTTTATTATCTAATAGTTACTGAAATATTGAATCCAAATTAATATAAAGATAAATAAATAATCATTAAATTATTAATCTAATTATATCCCATTCTAATAACTAGGAACTTTAAATTTTAAATAATTAACCAAATATCAGTTCAATTTTTGAACTAGATCAATTTTTGACTAATGAGTTATATCGATTTTTAAACAATATATACAATATTCATAAAACAATTATCAATAGCTCTAAACATTGTTCAGATAAACTCTTGTATTTAAAAAAAATTAATTTAGAGATATTTATTGAAATATTGGATCTATTAGTCAAATACTATAAAGTATCTTATAAAACTATAGACTTTTAAATATTACTTATGAAAGATAAAAATTTGATAATTATTTAGAATAGAATAAATCAATATAGTAGATATTAAATTAGAAATGAAATATTTGATTTTATTATGTTTTTATGCAATATTAAAGATCCATTTATATAATTCAATTTGTAAAGAATGAGTGCTTAAAGAAGTCACTATAGTTACAAGAGCCCTTAAATACAAAAAGGTGACAGACAAACAAACTCTCTCTAAATAGAGTATTAATACCTAGAATAGAATTTAGGATGCAACATAGTATATTGTTCTGGA